CATTTGCCCAACATTTCGGGCCAACATTGAGCCGATGAGCAAACTTAAATTGGGTCAATGTCCTTTGCCAACATTGGCCCGATGTAACCTATTACATTGGCCCAACGTTGGCCCAGTGTTGGCATGCTATCTGTGGTACAGTGTTGACCCAACAGCACCTGGCCTCTGCACTTCCCCGTGTCTGATTTACACAGATTTGTACATGATATCGTTTAAAAACTAATCGTTAATTCAGCTGTACCGAGGCAAACATATTATAAATATATTTATATATATTACAAGTAGCCCGGTTGTTGTCTACCCATGATGCTCAGTCAGATTCTTGGTATATTGGGCCAACGTAGGGCCGATGTCAATCCCCAAACAAATATTTACTCTCATGATAATAGTTTTATTATATAATGCCAATAGTTAGCCCAACATTAGTGCACCATTATACATAATCAGCTATCAATATTCCATGTTGGGCCATCGTTGGCCCAATCAAGGTAACCCAACATAGATAATAGAACCATAATGTAAGATTGGGCCAACGATGTTCTGACATCTGGGTTATTACAAATAAATAAGCATAAACACAGAATGTGCCAACGTTTTCCCAACGTAAAGCTCAGCAGTTAATTATACAATTGACACAACCAATTAGTTGGCAGTATAATAATTGGGCCAACGTTGGCCCAATATAGATATCCCATCTTTGAAACACCTAAACAAAATAACATTTGTATGTATTACAAACATTGTGCCAACGTTAGGCTAACACACTACTACGAACTTGATAGGACACGATCTTTAAGGGTGTATTACAAACAATGGGCCAAAGTTGGGCCAACATAATACTACCAATTTAATAAGATTTTCTTTAAGGGTGTATTAGAAACATCGAACCAACGTTGCGGAAACATTCTACTTCCAACTTGCTAAGTCACTTTCTTTAAGGATGTATTACAAACAATGGGCCAACGTTGGGCCAACTTAATACTACCAACTTGATAAGACACATTCTTTAAGGGTGTATTATAAACATTGGTCCAACGTTGGGCCAACACCAGGATCCTTCCTTCCTTGGAAACTAAAGTGAATGGAAGTTGCTTACGTTGGACCAACGTTGGGCCAACATAGGCATTTCGTCATGGAAGGTTGACTTTGTTATTTTGGTCCAACGTTGGCCCAACGTTGTTCCCCCAACGCCAACCATACAACCTTTAACAAATGTTGGCCTAACATAGTCCTGCTATCCGGGCAGTCACTTCAACCACTCAGAGGGTATGTAAACAATGTTTTTTTTTAAATCAGATTATATAAAATTGGTAAAGATGATGTGAAACAGATTTAGTGTTACAAAAAATGAAAAACTCAAATTCTGAGCGAATAAGGCATTTTAACATGTTAAACACATGTGATTTTAAAGGTCAATTTTTACAATTGAATAAGGAATAAATGATTTTTTTTTAATTTAGAATCTGCAGATGCAGTCTGTAGTTTTTCCACAAGGTATCTAGTCAAATTATATATAACCAACGACCAAAATCAAATGTACAATCTTCTCCCATTCGGACCATGGTCAAATGAGAAAGAATATTTTGTAGCTCGATCATTAATATTTTGTAGCTCATTAAAATATTGACCAATGCAAATGCATGTAAAGCAAAGTCAGATATTTTACTTTGATCATGATACCCAGTCGCAGTGTAAGAAACACTATTGAATGAATATAAATTGTTCATTTCAATTTTGGATGGAAACAAACCCATGTTCACTTACAATCCGATGTCATATGACGTCACAATATAGATTGAAGCATCGAGATAAAGATTAGAAATTTTTTTGTGATCAAGCAGCCACGAGCAGGAGAGCTTTATGCTTACAACGATCTGGTAATGTACATAAACCTGACCAACTGATAACCAAGTCCACTCAAACCTAGTACATGTATTTCAACTTTTGAACCAATCTAGAAGTCAACTCTTAAACAATAGTATGCATGGTTACGGATTTTACCTTTGTAGTCTTGGTTAGGCTGTACCCTATCATGTACTGTCTGGTTTACGAGTAGAATCTAGATTGTACGTAAGGCTTCAAGTAGATATATAATTTTTTCAAAAGGCAGAAATGTATTTATCCTGAAATTTCTTCTACAATACTATGTCAATATGTATCAAATATTTGAATTGGTCATGTTGATCAGGAAGTCTTTTTTGTATTGATTACAAGATGTGTTTTTGAAACACTATGCGGCCGGCGGTAACAAAGTTAAAAAAAAACTTTGTTTTAGCATATAGGTAAAAGTCTAGGTCATAAGGTCATTGCTCTCAATGTCATTTGAAAGAGGTGTATTAGTAGAATATGCATACCAAACATGAAGTCTCCATCTCCTATGATTCAAAAGTTTTGGTAAAAGTTCAAAAGAACTATTTTAAGCCTGTAGGTCACAGTCAAGGCCACAAGGTCATTGAAGTTGGTGTCTTTTTAAGTTAAGTACGCATGCCAAATATCAAGTCTCTACCTCTCAAAGTTTAAAAGTTATGGCGAAGGTTCAAATTGGCAATAGACAGACAGACAAACAGCTGAACAGACAAACAGATAAGCAGACAGGACGTAATCAATATACCCCTCAGATCTATCGATTCGGGCGCAATTTTAAGAACAAACCATTTCTTCACAATTATTTATGAATAATATCATTTAATTTAAAAGAATAAGCTGTATATTTTAAAGTTACTTCCACTTACATCTAAAATGAAATGGACAGAATTTAAAGTTTAAAGTGGATTTTAAGTGATTTGTGTATTGTACATAATTATATATAAGATGTATGTAAATAGAAATACATCCCTGCTCTTTTGCTCATATATAAATTGATTTTCTAAAATAAATGAAAATATATATTTTACAGTAGTGTGATGTTTGTTTTAAGTATAATGTACTAATAGAGCGACACATGTTTATATGATATTCTGTCCAGGTTCTATTTGAAGTATATATATACGTTTAAAAAAAAATACTGCCCCTGATATTTTATTTTTGAGGACACCAACATTCCATGTAAATAGGCAATATTTCTGTTACATGTAGTGTTCTTATTGAAGCTGAATGAAGCATATACAATTCTTCACTGCATTTTCATGAATACTCTAAAAATAGATTTTTTAGGTCACTTAAAACAGAATATGAAAAACTTATTGATGACTGGTAAAATTTTTACTGATGTGCGAAGATTAATGAATGGTAATGACAAAATTAGTAATACCGATGTGTTCCGATTCATTAAATTCTAAATATTTCAAATTAAAATAAAAACATTTCTTTCTTTGGATTTAATTCATTTAAAACTTTAATTGGAAAATTCCATATTTATAAATCTGCAATAACGCAGTACAGTTAAGGCAACATTTTCTGTAAAAAGTCACCGAAAATGATATACTTAATGTTTAATTGTTTAATTTTTCGGCAAGACATTCTAATTAAAATAACTTTATGTTATCTTGAAGAATATGTCCATCGCTATTCACATCGGTATTTTTTGTCATCATGTGACCCTCTTAAGTCACGTGAGCTCCGATTTTATTAACAATCCGAGGTCAACAAATGAAATGTCAAATTTAACCAAAAAGTTCAAGGGCAAGGCAAACAAAAAATAACTGCACAGTGTTTTAAATTGTCCCTATGTATCTATACTTTTGCAAAAACAATGCTCATTCAGTTAGTTTTCCGATATATTTAAGATATTCAGCTAAAATAGACAGTAGCATATGAAAAATAGGGTATTTTCCTAATTTCATAGATAATTATAAATTACCTAAAGGATTACAAAGAAATGAGCATCACTTTTTGAAAACTATACAGTAAAACGAATAATTTAAAATAAAAACCTACTTTTTAGATTGTCGCCTTGCCCTTGAACTTTTTGATTAAAAATTGACATCTTGGTACAGTCAATCTAAATAAAGTTTTCAAACGCATCGCCGACCCAGCATGGGAGATAACTCTTTAGTACTTGATATAGTTTGTTTACCTCGTAGATTTTAAATAAATATACTTGCGGACTGCCCTGGGATTTTTTTACTAAATCAAACGGTATGCATAAAACATCCTGAACATTTGTTCCTTCTATTTTGTGACTTCGTTCTCTATACAATATATGAATGATGTATGCTAAAAGACGACCTTCCGCATTTCCTCAAATATGTGTCAACACACAATATCATGCTGCTACACGTACGTGTAAATTTTGCTGCAGCATATATTCTAAAACGCCGATTGTTAATAAAAATGGAATTATTCAGTTGTAATTTTAAATAGTTAATTGATAGGCTCCATCAATGCAATAATTAATTCGATAACTTTACAACTCTGTCACTACTGTACATACACTTGTGTACACATAAGAAAAGGTTTTGGTTTGTTTCGTTTTATTTACGCATATGAGATTCTATCATGGCTTTCATTTAAACCTTCAACTCCTAAGGAATTTAAGTTGTACGTTTTAAGAACTAAGTGGATAGCATTAGTATTCCTGCATTTGGTAGGAAGACTACCATTTCATTCCGAAATAGGAAGGGGGGGGGGGCATTTCTCGAAAATGTTGAAAATACATATGTCCCGAACTGGATATGAAATGAATAATCTGCCCCAGACCAGCGCTCACCTCCTATAAATTAGAGGGTGTTTTTTTGCTTGCCAGACATTTTTTTCAGTGAAGAGGGAAATAAATAATCTGTCTTTCATCTTATTGGAAATAAATATTATTTTTAAAAAATGACTTAGGAAAACATGCCAACCACCCCTCTCCTTCAGAATAAAATGGTGGTCCCCTTACATGTACCTGTTTTGAATCAATGATCTCGTTTTTAGTTCCTTTGATATTGAAAAACAAACTAACACTATGTACATGCTGGAAATAATATCTTGATGGAGATTGACACCCACCACACAAAGCATATGCAAGTTAAAATTTCCACATCTTAATAGCCTTTTCAATACCTATACAGTATAAGTAAATGTATATGAAAAAGTCAAAGCATAATTTATTGATCAAGAAAATTTATTTCATAAACAGCTTTTCAAATTCATAGGTAGACTTTATAAGGAATACTGAGCAGGTGCAAATTATTTCCATCACTTCATGTTTTTGTGGATGAAATCAATTCTGAAAATACATGTATAAGAAAATCAGGATATACATGTATACATATCATTATTGAGAGTAAAATGGTGTTTAAAAATTAGATTAAATTCAAAACAATGTATTGAAACATGGAGCACTGAATGCATAATTAATTGAAAAATAAATTAAATGCAATTCTACTGTTATATTTGATGATTTTGCCAGGAATATTGCTTGGTTTATAATAGCTTATATGGAGCATACCATTTTCCTTAAATGATGGATTAACTTGCTGCCTGAATGAATCCATAGATCCAATTCTTTGGGAATAGCTGCAACACATTATAATGCTATGAGATTACTAAATGAAATACATTGTAGAATAAAATGACATTACACACACAAAACAAATCATGATATACAAGATATTAAATAGAAACAAAGATGTGTTACAAAACTTTTCTGGGGAATTAAAACCTCTGACATTTCCTAGACAAAATAATTAGTATATGAAAAAAAAAACATTCTTTCATCTTTACCAAAATGAAAAATAAATATAATCACACCTGCATGCTTAAAAAATGTGAAATGCTTTAAAAGTATACCCTGTGGAGAAATGGAAGGGATTCTTATTTATTCATCCTCAAGCCTGGAACTCTTGACAGCTAGCTACAAAAGCAGAAGTTTTATATATCATATAATTAAAACAAAAATAATGTATAAATTACAGAATTTTTATTGACTTGACATGTAATCAAACTAAAAAAATATTTTGTTTCCCCAATTAATTTAGAAATTCTATAAATTTACAAACATAGATTTTAAACTGTAGGTTTTGTTTTCAACATAATGATACAGACAATATTTTATAGATATATTAGGTAGCATGTTTGTATACTGTCAGAAAGAAAACAACATAACATGTTTAGTAAATCATTGTCAACTCATTTACTGAAACAATGAATTCAAAATTTAATTTAGTGTATATCTGTATTACTGTTGTCACAGTTGATCCCCATTACTACACATAATATCTCAAAGAATATAAGCGAATACGCAAGTTTCGAGATTATCTCCCTTGGTGCACTCTTTCGTTGAGGAGGAGAGTTTCGTCGCCGCGTAAACAAACAGGTGGGACAGTTATTTATATATTGGATATATCGCATCATCGATATACTGGTTTATCATAACTACATAATTGTAAAGATGCACTTTTCAACTCGAGAATAACCGAATTAATGTAAAGGCGTCATTTTTTAAAGCAACAAAATCGGAACAAAAAAGAAAATATCAGTGGATGTGAGACTTTTCAGACGAGGGAAGAGAGATATGGACCTCTAATAAATACGGTACACATGCTTCTGAACATTGCATGTCGGCAATGTAAATGACACATTGATTATTTTTCTTATTATAATTTCAAAGAACCTACTAACTTTTTAGAAACTGTACAATCATGAAAATCTTTTACTTTTTATAAAGACCACGACGTTTATTTCGTTTTCAAGTACCCTATAATTGAAAGAAGACTTGTAAATATACACAGCTGAGCTTGATAAAATCATAAAATGCATCACTGCTTAACATTATTATCTTTCTATAACTTTAAATAATTTTTAAAAGCCATAAACATCGTTCATTTATTTATGCACGTTTGTGTACAGAAACAACCTGTCCCACCTCCATGCTGAAATGGATACGTTTTGCGCCTCTATCGTAGGAGAGTTACAATCTCGAAACCCGCGTATTGACAAGAACTCTGTACCATATATTTATGGTGCAATTACATAAAAAAATTCTAATATAAAAAGTGTGCAACTTTGTATGTGTATGTTGGGACTTGGGGGGGGGGGGGGGGGGGGGGAGGGGGCATAATATACACAATCGCAATACACTGCATTAGATTTTCACTTACTGTGATAATACATGCAAATGATCATGTACACACTCGCTATCGGTTTTTTCTATGATGTAAACACAAGAATATCTAGATATTTTACATACATGCGCATACATACCTGGGCTAAATGTACTGCAGAGATGGATCTAGGGAGCTGATGATGATCGTCTCAGTCTTCCATTATCTTCCAAAATAATGTCCTCATATTCTCGTAATAGGGTTAAGCAATGCCTTGTCTCTTATCTTATCCCTATTTTCTTTTAAGATTCCCGGTTATTGCATTAAAATCAACTGCATATCTCAGCTGATGTCGCCACGTTTGTAGATGTAAACAACACTCCGTGTCATCGAGTGCAAGCGTTTGGCTGAAGCCGAATGCAGCCAAGCGGCACATAAAAAGTGAATTATTCTATAGATATGCTATTCTATGTAAGAGAAAATCACTTATAATTATTTATTTAAACATGAAATTATTGACGTTTGCTACAAATTCTTGCAAATATAGGTAAATAGTTATTTTGAGCTCTATTTCCTTATAAGGATTAATCAAGGCGGAGCAACTGTCATGACGTCAGACCTCATTATGACCTCATTACCATATTTTTTTCATGTGTTGCCTTAACTGTACTGCGAAGAGACTGAATGTGAGGATAACGCATTGTTATGTAGGGTATTTTAGACTGAAGTAAATCATTCAAATACACAGAAAAAAAAGCTTGTAGCTTTTTAAATGCCTGGGAAACACACTTTTTGACATTTTAAAATTATGTTCACTTTCCAAAAGATTTTAAATCCAGTACAGGGAATAAAGATGACTCCACCATCAGCATGAATTCATTATAGAGTGTTCGACATAACCATGTTTTACTGTACTATGTGTAAACATTTCTTCCCTTACATCATGATACTAGACAGTGTAATAAATACATTTTCCTAATTGTTTAAGCCAGTAGTTGGTAAAGGCCCATAGAAAATATAGTGATAAGCATGAAAATACAGTAGAACACAACTAGAATACAATTAATTGGTGTAGCAAGTTAAATATTGTACTAATCAGATACTCAATACATATGATTCAGTACAATGTACTTACTCATTTATAGCTTAAAAAAATTTTATATCAGATATTTGACATAAAAATGATGATAATATTTTAAGAACCTTTTTACAACTAGCTTTCAGCAATAATTTTAACAATTTGTCATTATTATGGATTGTGTGGTTCAAGTTAGGGAAAGTATAGATAATTTTGTTTTGAATATATTTCTTTGTGCTTCATATTTTGGACAAAGCAAAATGAAGTGTATTTCATCCTCAATGTTATTAAAATGCTCATAAAATACTAGAAAAATGAGCTAATTATATAATTTAAAAGTTATGCATATTTGCATTCAGAAAGTACCAGGCCATATAAGGGTCCGTTTTTTCGTATACGGCAGTCATAAATTAATAACATTTAGTAGAAATATTACTTTAAAAAAGAGTTGGGGTACATGTATCTTTTCACCTATTTAAAGTCGTTCCCTGCAATCGCTAGTTATAGGATTAATGTTTGCTTCCTTAACTGTACTTAGATTCAAATAATTGGAATAAATATGACTCTTTCATAGGCATTTTTTTTACATTCTATTGCCTTGGTTAAACAGGTGCTTTTTCATTATCAATTTGACGCTTTTTTCCTGACGCAACTATTTTACGTCTTAGTTTACGTCGTAGTACGGCATCCATGACGTTACAGACGTAACGTTGTTCGGCGTCGAAAGGGTTAAATCATCCAATACTTAATATGCTATAGGGTACCATAGATTAAGAGTTTGCTGCTAGCCAGATATCTTTTCATCTTGATGATATACATGTGACATTAAAACTGTTAAGTATCGTACAAAACAAATTTTACAATTTTAAAAATGAAAACTTAATATGAAATTTACAGTAACATTTTCTATCAGTTTTTTTCTGTTCTGTTTTAATTACATGTAACCGTCTTGGTAAAATGTTCATTTTCTGAAAATTTAAGAAAATCCTATATCATCTTTACCAAATTTTTCTTCTACCACTCCTTAGAAGCTAATAGTGCTGTATTAAGGCACAATATATTTGAAGTAGGGAACAAAATAAAGATTATTTTATGTTTATAGTAGAACAACACAGTACACATGTAAAATTTTAACTTCATGGAAACAATAAAAACAATATTTCCAGTGTCTAAAAATTACAATTTATTTATAGTCAGTGCCAAGTTAACCAATGAAATTATAATATAAATGAAATCACAAAGTGTCCCATAACATCTTTTAGAATTTTATGAAAAGTGTAATCATGGAATTATTAGATAAATAGTTTAATTTACAATTCATGTCTCATATTCACTGCTTTTTCACTTGTTTTATATTATGTCAAAAAATTCAAATAAATAAATAAATAGAATCATGGTGTTTGCATTAACAAATGAAGTTTTTTTCTTTATCACCAGTAGTTTCTTTCAAGAAGTTCACTTTCTAGATTTTTTTTTTATTGCAAGTTTTAAATCGACCTTTACTTCATACTGTTCATGTCCTCTATTGTCCCTGCCCTCTACTGTTAGGAATGAAAAACACTTGTCTTTTTTAAAAAGCAGAATTTTGTTTGAATCATCAGTCTCCAACATCACTGTAGATTGTCCGGTCCTTTGAATGAAACCATATAAACCGAGTTCCAGTGTCGCAGTGCATGTAGGTGTTGGTACGAAAAAGATCTCTCACTTTTCAAAGGCTTTAGCGTTGAGTACAGGTTGAAATATGCAGCCCTTCACTGGAACGTGTTGGCGTCTTCATATGAATTAATTTGATCTAGATTCTCATGTGCGGTGATGAAGCAACAAACTGTGGACTATTCATAGCACTCCATTTCTATAAAAGTACAAAGAGGACAAGATTTATTCATTGATGATTGATCACCATAATATTATTATTTTTATTTTTTTTAAATCTCCCACAATTTTAATTTGGGAAAAACACAAATAATTATCTATATATATATATATATATATATTTAGAAAAGAAAAACACGACAACACAAGTTGTAAAACGTTAGCGCTTTCATTCAAATTCTTCAGACGTTTTACTTTGAACATTTGACGTTAAAATGTTATGGTAATGACGTTGTCAACAATACAATGACGTCACAATGAATGTTCGGGAAACAAGCAAAAGCGTATATATTGAACATATGAGAAATAAACATACATGTATATAAAATACAATAAACTATGCTAAACTGTTCAAAGTTGGTTTTAAAGACTTAATAAAATGGCCCCTACCTACGCTACTCTAACATTAGGGTATTTAGAAGAGATTCTATATGAGAAAATAAGTGATCGGTTTGATTCAACTACCGCTATCAACATTAAACAGAAATGGAAAAGATATCTTGATGACTGTTTCATCATTTGGAATGTAAACAATATGAATTTAGACATCTTTTACAACATTCTAAATGAGCTTGATCCCGACATACATTTTACCGTAGAGGAGAACCTGGAAAGTATATCATTTCTGGACGTCTTAATTACTCGAAATGGAGAGAAACTGACAACTGATGTATACTACAAGACGACAGACACACACCAATACCTCCATTTCGGTTCATGCCACCCCAGACATACTAAGCGTTCAATACCGTATAATTTATCGAGAAGAATCTGTACCATAGTCAGTGATGAGGAACGAAGGAAGGAACGTCTTAAAGAATTGAAAGGGTATCTTTTGGATCAGAAATATCCATTAGAAATTATAGAAGATGGAATTAAAAAAGCCGAAGAACTGGACCGTAACCAATTAATTAATCCGCCGTCTACAGACACTACAGAGGAGAAAATACTTCCTTTCGTTACGACCCACAATCCAAGAAATAGAAACATGACCCCATTTGTTCAACATCTCAATGGAGTTCTTAAAACCGACGAAAAAATGTCAAAAGCTCTTCAAAATTTCCAATTCATAAATAGTAAGAGGCAACCGAAGAACCTCCGCCGATTATTGTGCAAGTCGCATTTTCAACAAAATAATGTGCACTCAGTCAGCAAATGCCCTGACCGTCGCTGTGGAACATGTCCGTACATAAGAGAAGGAAATACCTTTAAAATTGGGCCCAAAGAATTTAAAGTTAATGCTAATATGTCTTGTGATTCTAAAAACGTCATATATTGTATAACGTGTGAAGGATGTGGCCAATTTTACATCGGCGAGACTGGAACTACTCTCCGTACCCGTATCCGAATCCACAAACAACATTTTCAACATCCAGAGTACAGACAGGTCAAAGTTAGTGAACACCTGGACCAATGCGGTAACGGACATTTCACCGTGTTCCCCTTTTACAAATTGTTAACCGACAGTACGGTAGAAAGAAGAGAAAAAGAGAAACATTTTATTAAGTCTTTAAAACCAACTTTGAACAGTTTAGCATAGTTTATTGTATTTTATATACATGTATGTTTATTTCTCATATGTTCAACATATACGCTTTTGCTTGTTTCCCGAACATTCATTGTGACGTCATTGTATTGTTGACAACGTCATTACCATAACATTTTAACGTCAAATGTTCAAAGTAAAACGTCTGAAGAATTTGAATGAAAGCGCTAACGTTTTACAACTTGTGTTGTCGTGTTTTTCTTTTTTAAATATTCATTGCCGGACACTGTGACTATTATATAATTTATTATTATATACAAACTTTGGATATATATATATATATATATATATATATATATATATATATATATATGGCCCTATATATATACATATATATATATATATATATATATATATATATATATATATATATATATATATATATATATATATATATATATATATATATATCCAATGAAAAAAAGTCAGAAATCACAAATCTCGAAAATCATTTTTACTGTTAGCGCTTTCTGCCTAATGGCTCTTCAGACAGTTAAAAGTTAAATATAAAATTGCTTAGTAACGTTCATAAGCACGAGTATTGTCCATTGTGACGTCATAATAACGTTAAAAGGTAGCATTATAATTCGCACCGTTACAATCACTTAAATAAACCAAAAAACCAGTAGAAAATAACTTAAAACTGAAGTAATTATTTTCTGTTAAGTTTTGGGTTAAATAGTTTAATGAAGTAGTCCTCCTTTGCTACTCTGGATATTTCACAGTCATTGTGCATTTTATAAAATGGAAATAATTTAAATTTCCCTTTCCCACAGGTAGCAAAGTGCTCACTGCACGGCGTATTCCTTACGCTAGGGTCCCGAATTTGTTGTTTATGGACTCGCACTCGTGCGTTCAGTTTGCCGGTTTGTCCTATGTAGTTTTCATCACAGGTCGGACAGCTTATGCAGTAAATAACATTTACTGATTTACAGGTCATGCTGGCGTTTGGTGTTAATTTTTTACCACATTTTAAAGTTTTTTCGCTTCCCTCCTCCAGATATTCACATGTTCCACAACGTGGGTC